TGGATCTAGAGTCAAGATGACCTTTTTGCGAAATAAAGAAATAACAAGACAATTTTACTCAAAACGCTGCTGCTTGGGCACCAGTGAGCAAATCTTACGCAGGAAAAATGTTCAGTGTCCAGGCAACAATATCTTCTGTGCATTTATTTAATTGTATCCCAAAAATACAATACATAAAAAACAATGGATTCACCTCGCCTTTCCTGTGTTTCCGCATAATCACCAGGTGCCCTAAACTGCCTTCTAAATAAGCATTAACAATGACTTAAACTCAAATTATAACGATAAGTATTGAGTAATTAAATGTAAACAAAGAACAGCAAGAAAATACATGTTTAATTACTAAATAACATAAATCTTTGTATGGCTCTAACAGAAAGAATTCATTTTTCCGCCTTCTTTCGGGGCGAGTAGACAAATTCTTCTCCTGATTTTTACATCTGTGATTCTGACTGTACTACAGTTTTGCAATACTACATGGTGCATGTGTTTGTCTTCTGCTTTAAAATCAAAAAGCTCCACCAGTTGAAAATCTCAAGCTAAAAGATTGCAGTTCAGCCCTTTTTTGAGAAGCAGAATCAGCCTAACATAATACCATAAGGCGCTTTCACACCGGAGTACTTTTCCCAGTATAGTTCCGATATAGTTCCGAAAATGTGCGTTCGCACCAAAAGAATCCAGAACTAGAACTTAGTCCATGAGAACCTTTTCACCCCCTTTTCCGTCCCTAATAGAGAGCAGGTACTTTCATGGGAGAAAAAGGTTCCCATTTCTGATTGGCTGGTCGGATTGCAAACCACGCCCCGTAAAACTCTGAACAGGTTTTGTGAAGCCGCCATTTTATTTGCTCGCATTAGCATTATTAGCATTAGCATTAGCCCAGCGCACAAACCCAGAGAGACTAACTTATGGCAACACAAAAGAAAACATGGGAGCGGTGGAGATGAGGAGGTGTCGGCGTTCTGGCGATTTACTCGGAAGGCTTCAGTTGAAGCTGCTGGGAGTCCCAGCAGCTTCTACTGAAGCCAGTCCCCAACTCCGGGGACTTCCGGCCGGGGACTTTGGGTGGCAGTATACGCCGTGAAGTTGATTGCGGCCTGCCAGTAAACCCAAAGCAGAAGAAGTGACGTCAGCGGCTTCATTTGCCTAATCCGTCTCAGGGACTTATTCCGGTGTGTTAGTTCATCAGAACTAAAGAGTTCTGATTAACTAAGTTCTTCAGTGATTATGTTAAATGTTCTTGTATCGTATCTTGATGTCTGTCCTTGTTTGATGTTGCAAATGGAGCTGCTGTGATGCAAGAAACATTTCAGACTTGACCTCACAATAAAGTATCAGTTTCTGCTTGCATTAACCGTACATTTTGCTTTATTTGATTCTCTTTTTCTAGACGGGCTGTTTAACCAGTACATCAGCCAGCAGGAGTACAAGCCCCGGTGGAGTCAGATCATCCCCAAATGTAACAAAGGTACCCAAGAAATCAACCGAGACGACATGACGAGTGAGACCATCTACTCAAGTGGGGAAATACTCCCAATCACATTTCCGCATGTGACGTCTCAGTGGCCTTGTAGCTAAAACTCCCTCCTGTCCTCTGCTCACTCCACCTCTTCTACATGATCATTCTTCCTCATCTTCCTCATGCTCCACCTCCTCCTTCCTCTTCTCTCTGCAGGTGACGGAGACGACAACAGGCCCGGGATGAGGGGAGGACATCAAATGGTCATCGACGTCCAGACTGGTGAGACCCATGGATGTTTAATAAGAACTGGATACAGTGTGGGAGGCGGGGTCTCGTTCTTTCCTTTGAGAGCTGCTCATTGGCTCATGAGGACAAAATGGACTGATATCTTTGAGAGTGAAACGTCACAGATTACCCAGCATGCCTGGCTGTCGGAGCAGAAGAACCCGTATGTGCGCTCACAAGAGCATGTGCCCTTTAAGCCCCGCCCCCCGAGCTCCCACTCTCGGCTCAGTTGAATGAATGGAGAGAGAAAATAAGACAGAATTCGGCTTTTAGCGCATTTTACAACTTTAAGGAATTAATGATTCGAATAAGGGCTATAACATAGTTCATACTGGGTAGTTTATTTAGTTAAAAAACAATTATCCGCTGATTTACAGACGTCTCTTTCCCCATGTTAGTCAATGGGGAAAAAGTCTATCTGGGCCCAGTGACGTCACGGACTGATACGGAAATTGTAGTATCGCCGTTTGGACACAACAAATATTTTCCTCAGAGTCCAGAGCACTTCCTGGGGGCTTGGGTGAGACCCAGGCAGCCATTGTTATGACTCTGCTTTTTAACCGAAGCGCTCTGACTCATATCCTCCTACGCACACTCAGAAACTCTATCACTGTTTAATCAAATTAAGCACCCTCCCCGACCTTCAGCCCTTCTCTAAAAGGAAAAAGTCCTGAAGTAATCTCCTTTTTAAGAGCCTGTGAAGACTCTCTTTCTGACTGAGACACACGTTTGTTTTTAGTATCAGCCGATGTT